CAGAGGTTTTTGCTCCCTGACACGTTCATTTAATAAAATTTATCCAGTGCATTGCCAAACTATTCATCCAATAGTTGTGAAACGTTGCAATGTTCCAAATATAACTAGGAACTAGAAAGTTTGCTATCTTACTCATAATCTTAAAATTCCAAATGGCTCTAACACTGAAATTCCCTCTTGGGTTCCCCCCTAGGTGTTGGGAGTGAGCTAGTCCGGGGAGAGTTTAGATCTTCGGTCCTGAGATCCTTGGTTCAAATCCTTCCAATCACTAATGTATTTTTATCTATGTTTTATTGACATTACCCTCTAAGACTAGCCTAAACTAATGTAATGTGTCAAAATATTTCTGGGATACAGCTTTAATATTTAATTTTATGTACCAGTATAACAAATTTATGTTTTATGAAAATATATGTTTTGAATTAAATCGAAACATATTGCCCTAGGACGCAGAAGAAAAAAATCCCTGGGTTTCTAAGGTTACTATGTTAAACTGTTAAACTTATGGAATTTTATTGATAGTTTTCATGGAAACAGTAGGGAAGAAACAATAATACTAATTAATTGTTGCTTAGATTTTGTTTCAAATATTCTTTACCGTACCTTATATTGTGACACAAGTTATTTTACTTGTTATCCCTCCAACCACCAATGGATTTTTATCTAATAGTTCTGGAAAACAGTTATGATATTTAATTTTATGTATAAACAATTTATGTTTTACCAATGAAAGAAAAGAATCCCTGGGTTTCTAAGGTTACTATATGTTAAAATTATGGGAATTATTTTCTTGATTTGTTTTCATAGAAACCGTAGGGAAGTAAGAATGGTAAACTTATTCTTACAAGTTTTTCTAATCTTTTTTGAATTTACACTGCAACACAGGTGATTTGCATGAGTTAAAATATTTTGAAAAATCACACGAAAAATTGATTTATCCTATAATAATAACATCTACACTCTATATTACGACTCTATATTATTAAACTGTTGGCTTTAGTACTTTTACTAATTCTATTATCATTGATGATTCTTGTTTGTAAATGCTTTAAAGCAGACATTTTTAGCTCATATCCAATTATGCATGGGGTATAACTAGTTTTTTTTTAATGAGTTTAATACAACAAAGATAAATCTTTAAAATACAGCCACATTTCACACAACATACATTTCCTCCCTGTTGTTAAAGTAGGTCATGCACACGCTAGGGGGTAGTTGGGAGGTTACACCCCCCCCCCTCAACCCAACCCCCTAGATCCTGACCCAGCATCTTCCTGTATCTGTAGCCTATCCATGGAGCCTCCCTGTACAGCCACCCCTGTCCATACTGTGAGTATGTCAACATCTGTTACCTATCTCGGTTTATCTCAAGTTACTTGTCTAGCACAGCTGTTCTTATCAGTTGTGCCAGATGACTCAGGTCTTACTGCATAGAGTCAAGGTTAAGTTTGTTTCATCTCGGAGGTGTTGTGAAATTCAGTTTGATTGTTTATTGTTTATTTAACTATTTAAATTAGTGCTAGACTACAAAAAAACAATGGTGTCACTATACAATAAATACTATAGTTCGGCCGCTTAGAAAACGACCTCCTCTAGCATTAGGTTAGCATTAGCGCGCAGGTCGCTTTCTAAGCGGCCGAACTATAGTGTACATGTTGCTCGAATTCGAGCAATTGCAAAGTGTTACAGGATTTATTTTAAAACGAATAACAGTCATATTTACAATTAATTTAAAAGAGTCAACTCAAGATCGGTTTTCTCCTTCTCAAAATACCTCGCTGTACAGGCAACACAGGTCATTGACAGAGGGCCAATTGAGAACGAAAAGTCGTTTTGGGGTAGTGTTAGGGTGCATTTGTAACCAATAGTTGAGATTGTCCAGGGTCAGGTGCTGACTGTGATGAGTTAAACCTATTACGCGCCACTGTTCTGTAGCTGCGGTCGTTATCACGACTACGCCTCCTGTCTATGTTTCGTTGTTGTCGCGTCGGAGGCATTTAAAAGAAGAAAAAATAAATAAACAAATTATAGCTACACAAAACAACGATAAATGCACAAATTTAAGTTACAATCATGCTAACACGATCCGTCATAGCGACACAAAAAAACTATAAATACACAAATTTAAGATACAACCATACTAACACGATCCGTCTTGGGGGTTATGTTTAAACAAACTCAAATAGTAAATAAACGTACTCAATGTGTTTCATTGAATTGAAAAATAAATAACAGCAGTTAAATTATACAGCTGATCAAAATGTAAACAATTATGTTCTTCATAAGGATAACATGGGAACTTTCAAAGCCACTGGGGCGGAGCCCAAGGGACTTTTTAAAAAATGCAAGGCCAATCTACGCGACACGCTCTTTCCAATGAGACGTCAATGGATAAAATCGGTTAAGAAATGGCGGAGGAGTTCAACCGACAAAGTTTCATGTAGCGTATTAATTATATAGATATAAATTAATTTTACTATATTTTTTTAATATTTTGAATGAGCTTGTTAGGCTGAGTAAAATTAAGAGTTTATTAAATGTAAACATTACTAAAGTGAACATAATATTTGAAAGGAAATCCAATTAGCTATACTCCTTTCCAATAAATTCGCAAATGCTTCATTTTGCGGAGGAACACAGCGGAACAGAGTTCAGGTACCTCTCTTTCAGAAAGATACAAATTTTGGCATAAATAGGTACTAATCACGTTAAATAGGTTACAGCTCCAGCACCTTGTTTTTTAGAAATCGAGCGCTTCTCCTTTTACAAAGTTTAGGTGGTTGTAGAGGAAGAAATCTGCCCCCCATTACTTAGTCCTACTTTTAAAACAATTAAAAGTAAAACAACAGCTGAGGTTTGCCAAAATGTCAATCAGCTGCAATATACATTAAGTAAAAAATGGTGGGGGAACTTTCCCTCAAACCGCCTACATATTATTTTTTGAACGGACTATAGTAAGGAATTTATCTAAAGGAACGAAGTTCAGCTAGCTCACCTTAGAAAATTTGAGTCCAGGGGCTAATAGGTGCACAATAAAAGGACACCAAACATAAAACTGAGGGTAGGTCTCTTAAGAGGGTAGGTGGAAGAGAAATGAATAGAGATGTTAATTGGTGGAAGGTATAGTAGGTTGAGGTAGAGAAGAGAAATAGGTTGAGGTTTCTCTTCAACCTAATTCTTGAAGAAGTCCTACATCAGGACGAAATATCAGTGATCTGTTTTGTGTTCTTGTACATCTAATGGCACAGACTCTAAAGTTTGTCATGTTTAAGCTAGCTGAACTCAATTCCTTTAAAAAAAATGTCATCAAATATTATAGGTTTTTCTTTCTAATAACTTAAAAACTAATTAACATGCAATGTTCAAAGTTTAATTTCACATCTCTGGAAGCTGAAGGCTCAAAATCCTAGGTCGATATGGGATGAGTATACACCCAGTAATCATGGGCACAATCTATTGTATTAATAGGCAAGTATGTTTCTTGAAAACCTTCTTTCTCAGCTTGTGTGCATTGCAAGGAAAATCTAAGCATACTGTTAGAAAGACATTTGCCTGTATATGTGCAGTATCCCTTTATAAATTAAAATAGCCTCAAAAATAAGCACAAAAGATGAATTTAAATCTTTAAAATAATTAACATGGGCCTTATGGGCTGCCATGTTAATAACAAAATAACAACGGAATATAAACAGAAAATCAAAACAAATGGAAGAAATTACAACCGTGTTTTATTTACAGCGTAGGGTGAAAATAGAGAAGTTTGCACAATACATATTTGTGGTTGAGTCTTCGACCACGAGGCGACCACTAGTGATTATTATTGCACAATATTTCAGCTAAATTAGTCTATTGCTTTTCTGCTAGACATACAGACTAACAGACTCCTCATTTTAACATAACATAAATATTGATATTCACTATCATAAACGCAAAATTTATATATTTTACAGAATACTGTAACATATTTTACCTAAATCCTCAACACTGCCCAGATGATTTTGTAGGTGTTATTCTGTTGTGATTCAAATCACAGATAATGACCAATTACATTGAGTGAGCGACATGATCGTCACATATGTTGTTATCTTCTGTTATCACTCGCTGCCCACTTCCTTGACAAAAGCTCAGTTAGTGACTAAAATTCAACTTGTGCGAAACAATGTACGAGGCGAAGGCTTATATAGAGCTTGAATCATCTGTTAGGTCTTTAGATAATGCAGATTCTTCTAAAGAATCTGAATGTTTGTTGAAACCTGTGGAAATCAGTGATTGTGCTAAGTCTGTGCATAAAGTGTTAGTGACAAAGACCGAGTTTGGTGAAACAGTTTCCAATTCTACTGCAAAACTACCTTATAAACCAGGATCGTTAACTTTTTCTTCTTACACCCCACCTCCGATCTACGGGTTGAAACATGTTTATGGACCCAGCTTAAAAGAAATTGTCAAAACAAAAAGTGAGAGAAATTCTAAGGAATCTCTTGTGAATCGTTTAAGTTCTGGTCAAAGTTCACTAAAAGTTACTTATAGCGTTAATGATTCCCGGACTAAATTAAATGTGGATAAAGCTGAAAGTATCGGATTGTTGGTAAGATGAAAGCTATATGTTAATGATTGACATTAAATTGGATATCTGTAGGGTGGTATTGATAATGTGAAAGTGTTTAGGTTTTAATAAACTTTTAATTAAAATAAATGTTACAAGTTTCATTGTATGATATTCACTGATTCACAAAAAGACCCGTGATTAACATCGAATTCAAATAAGCTGAGGTCATGTGTTCAGTCACAAATGATATATACATTACTGTTAAATTACCACACTCAGGAAATTATAAAAACATATTTTAAGTGATGACTTATGAATTGTAATATCATATTACAATAGTATCCCTCCATTAATACATCTATTCACAAATTCACATCCAAACTGTAATTTTACTTTGAGGTTTTCTTGATTGAGTTTTTTCAACAAAGTTCTAAAGTGTTGTTTTATTTTACAGCTAGGAGAGAGAGGGTCTGGGTTCCGGAAGCAGACTGATATCCAGGACTTCTACAAGATCCGGGATGAGTGTCTGGCCGAGGGGAAGCTCTGGGAAGACCCGGAGTTTGAAGCAGCGGACAGCTCGATATTCTTTAGTCGAGGGCCACCAAAACCATTCGAATGGAAAAGACCAATGGTAAGTTAAAGTTAAATGTGTAGATTCATGTATTTGATGTTGAGCTGAAAGAATCTAGAATCAATAAATATGTTTTGTATAGTTTAATATGTTTTATTAGATAAAATATACAACATTTAACAATTTTTTAGTTTTTCTCTAAAAACAGGTCTCAGAATTTGTAACCATGAAACCACAATGTTCTCTATGGTTGACCAGTAATTATATTCATTTTTATACATGATGGAAGGATAAAACATAGGTGTGATACTCCCGTCATAGGCTGATGACACCCAGATTGCAAACAGAAAATCACCTGATTGTGGCTGTCATATCATGTGACTGTAAGTATTATTTGTTTGGTTTTTATTGTTTTCATAAGTTTTCTAAAGGCAGCTCCAGGCATGCGACATTCGCCAAGCACCGAGAAGAGACTCGCCGAATTGCGAGTACTGTGGATAGGTGTTTGTCAATTTGACAAGCAGCAAACATTCGTGCTCGTGTTTTCCCATTCATCGTCGGTGTTTTTGCACACATAAAAGTAAACGCATATTTCCTATTCCTGAAATGAACAGTTGCTTGTAAAACAACACGTGTGTAGACGTCTACTCGTTAATTGGCGAATAAACACCTAGATCACCGAACGTTAAATATTTCGTTCTTGGCGACTGGCGCATATCTGGAGCTGCCTTAAATAGTGAAATGGCGTTTGCAATCTGGGTGACATCAGCCTATGACGGGAGTATCACACCTATGTTTTATCCTTCCATCACGGTTTTTATAAGAAATAAATATATCATTAACATTTCTTTTTCAATAGCCTTACCAATTCAATAGACACTCACCAATGGAATAAGTAAATTACCCTAGAGAAAAAAACTATAGTTTGGCCGCTTAGATAGCGACCTCCTCTAGCATGGTTAGCATTAGCACTCAGGTCGCTTTCTATGCAGCTGAACTATAGCTTATAGTCACAATCACAGATTTTGCTTAAGTTTGGAATATGCTTAAAAAATGCTGTTTTTGAGTGTCTATAACATTTGGTTTTGTTGTAATGTTGGTTAAACAGTAAGCAAATATAAAATTCAGTGCAAACTACAGCAAGAAGACTAAATCGAAAAAAACCCCTGTTTAGACAAGGTGTTGTTTTGGTCATGTATTGACTGTGTATTAGTGTATGTTCATGTGTATAACATGAGAAATATTACGTCATGCCTCCTTGTCCATGTGTTCTAGCCCTTAAAAAATTAAAGTACTCAGCAGCCATTCCCAGCAGTTGATGGTGGTATTGTTAATTAAATGCGCTTGGGAAAATTCTTAGCCTTTGTTATATTACTTAATTTTGCTATCGCTTGGTTATGTAATTTTGTATTAGTTACCGGTACTGTATGCCTGCAAATTAGAGTGACGAAACACGTATAATATTTTAAAAGCAATAGAAGAATACTTATTTACTGTATTATTATCAATAGCCCATTACAACAGCATAAATATTTTGCATTCATTTCACCCATTCGTTAGGCTCAAAAAAGGGAAAAAAATGTTTACTCATTTGACATGTCCAAACTACAACTTTATATAGGTAAAGCATTTTTTTTTTATTTTCCCTTAAATGTTTTTTCAAATAAAAAACATGACACCGTTGTATACCATTGTATGGTCTGTTTTTGGGTACTTGTGATTAATTGATTACAAGGATATTCAATACCATTTAGTCAACCTTTTACTTTAGTAAAACTGAAATTATTGTTCCTCTTGATTGTTGTAGGAAATCAGTGACGACCCACAACTGTTTGTCGAGGGAGCGACCAGGTTCGATGTACAGCAAGGAGAATTAGGTGAGAAACATTGATGAAGTAAACTAACCTTATTTTTCAGGCCTACATGTGGAAAATAACTACTTATGCACCTATTATTATTAACATCTCTTTATCTATGGATTCTATGATTTTTTCTCGTGGGTGACAAATAAGAAACATACAGCTCATAACCAATTAGAAACTTAAATTTGCTCATTGAGTTAAACTGAACAGCTAAATAGCTTAATTTAAACTATTTAAAAACCATATAACTTCATTTATTTTTTACTATTAACCATTATTGCATTTCACTTTGTTAAAATAAAAGATTTTCATTTAATTTATTTTTCTATTTATCACTTATCCTTCGGATATTCTGGTTAAAATATGGAACGCCTCTATCTTTCAAACTTAAAATAAAAACTTCACCAATATTTTTGAAATTTGTATTTTCATTTATTTATACGATTATCTTTCTCAATAATAATAATAATGTTTGGTTCCTTGAACCAATATTTTTAGGGAGACAAACTTGTTATCTGTTAAAAGCTCATTAAACTGCTCATTAAAGTTCAATCCTAATTCTTACTGCTTCAATAGTTGAGTTTACAATTCATTACAAAGTATGTTTAAGTAGTTTTGAAATTTGGACAATAGAGTGTTAAACTATTGTGATTCTACTATACTTATATAGAAGGAACGTATTTGATTGAATCCTAACATCCTGATCGCATTTAAATACTATTAATTTGTGTAAATACAAGTATGTATGCAATGTGGAATATTTCGGTATGGCCAACGGAGTCACAGGTTTCCCTCGATCACGTTGTGTCTCGTCTTTTAACAGTATTATCTTCTCGTTTTTGTCAACTGGGTGTCCTGTTTATTATTAATGTTGACGTTCTTCAAACAAATCGAAAAGAAAACATCTTGTACTGGCCTGATGATGACTCCAACGTGAGTCGTAACTACTTGCCATACCCTTAGGTTCCATATTGCATAAATGCAGGTATTTACACCAATTCACAGTGAAGAATGTTTCTTTTACAGGGTTATTTAGACTACCTGATTGTTTTGCGTCATTTTCAACAACCAAATGTTGACTTGTCCGTGTTGTTGTGCAGGTGACTGTTGGTTGTTGGCAGCAGTGGCTAACCTCACTCTACAACCAACATTGTTCCACCAGGTCGTACCAGATGATCAGGGCTTTGATGACAAATACGCAGGGATCTTTCACTTCAGGTATCAAAAAATCTATAAGTATAAAAAAGGAAGTTTTGTATATATATTTGGCAGTGATAAACTCAGACACCGATGGAATGATGGCCACGAAACTTGGTACATACATGTAGAATTTCATGGAATAGGTTTATACATAATTAATTTTGTGATAACTTTCAGGGCTTAGCCCCCCTGGGACCATCTTAAAGGTAACCATGTCAGGGATTATGAAAGACTAAAAAAAATCAAAGAATATTATTAACAGTTGTTTCAAATAAACCAACGAGTTAAATTCTACGATGTTCAAAAGCATTAACCAGTTACAAAGTTTACCAACAGATTGCAGCACTATTATTTTTTTACCCTGTTGCAAAGCGAAAGCATGGGTACAGCAACTAGACCGAATAACACCCTTAGTTTGACTTCAGTAATCCCATATGTCTAATTAGCTTCTGTGATTAGGCTATATAAGAATGTATTTAATCCTTAATAACTAACTGTTACTATACAGAATAATAATGTAAAAGATCATGTTGAAGTTGATTACTTGTTAAATGCACAGTTTTCGTTTCACAGTAACCAGTATAACATTTACATATATAATTTTAATAAGATTTTACAGTAATTTGTACTCTTCTCCACCAGGTTCTGGCAGTACGGGAGATGGGTGGATGTTTGTGTAGACGACCGTCTGCCGACCTGCTACGGACAACTTGTGTATCTTCACTCTAGTCAGAGCAATGAGTTTTGGAGTGCCTTGTTGGAAAAGGCATACGCCAAGTAAGTGGTTATAGATTTTTTTATTTTTTCATAATATGTATAGTATAAGTAGATTATAAAATAATGAAAAATTGTTCTTAACTGTTCTACTATAAGTATAACAGAGATACATCAGCTCAGCAAAAAGATTCCTAAATCAATTATATTTTTCCTCCAACACTAATGCAGTAACTACAGTAAAATAGGTTATATGTTGTTAAATCAATTTATTAGAGGACGAGGTGTAAGCCCGTCCTACGTACGGGAGTAGTCAGTTAAAACGGTTTAGGCCTATAATTCAGAACAGCTAGTTTACACGTATAAAGAAAATTTTTATTGCAGCCTACAGTAGAATGAGTAATTATCAATTGAGAAGTGTATAGGCTTAGTCAATTATATCACCTTCCATCGCATACCTACCTCTTCCATAATCAATATGACCACAATACAATTACTCATACTATACACAATTTCCAGTAGGTCTGAGTTGAAACTCCCTAAAATAAAACGAAAACATCCAATAAAATTCACAGTACACATAATTATAACGTTGGTGTCCTGACATCATTAAACGAATCGTCCACACATATCCTTTATGTCAATTTCACTGCACCAATTGCTAAATAAATAAGTTTAAACAACGAAAAGTAAACACAACAACATATTAGTTTGTTTTGTAAACAGCTAAGTCAAAAAAAAATATTCCTTTGAACAAAAGAACTGGTCACATGTTGAAGGAATTTAAAAAGTAAAAACGCTAGTAAAGCTAGTGACGTAATTAATTGTCTATGTTTATTATCTATCCCGTTATCAGTTCCAATATCCTTGATAATTATACCACCCTCATTGAATGAATGTACATCGTAATTCCCCATATTCATTTATTTAAACTATAAAAAATTCAGCGCCTCCAAATGTAACCACAACTAAACACACGCCAAACAACTTTTTTAGATTTCATAAAAGGATGTTTAGTCTAATTGCAGTATCCTAGGTCAATGATGACGTTGTGTTCAATTTATGACATTCATCTGTATATCTTTGGATAACACCCGTCTGAGGTTGTGGTGGTAATTTAAAATCGTATTCCTGAGGATTCTTGATCTCCATCTTTATGACATCAATATTTCCGGGCCTAATCCAAACAAAGTTCAAGCATTCAAAAACATTGATTGTAAACAAAAAGCTGCCAAGACGAATTAAAACATGTAAAAATTGTGATTTTCCTACCCTTTCCAAAAAAGATGAGCAGTGAAATAATTTGCAAATCTTTTTCATTTAACTCGTGTACAGATCCTCGACTTGTACACATCGATGGTGTTACTTTTCTCGGTGGGCTACTAATCTTACCTATTTCTAATAATCAATGACAAAATCAGAGTAAATAACCTCATAGTTCTAATAAGGCATTTTTATTTAACCAGCTGTTAGTTGAAACAAATTATATTGCTCTAAAACAAATCGAAGATTACAAAGATTGCTTTAAAAAATAATTTGAACATCCTAGTATTTTACTATGTATATTAAATTAATCTGTCATCCTCTTACAAAAGAATTGAACGTATCAATGATTAGCATTACACATAGTATAAATAAGTCAACCCTCAGTATGTCTTTACATTTTTATCCATGTTTTTATCCAAATGCTGAATTTGTGACACAAAAGCTGAATGTTTACAGCTGTTGTGTTAAGCAAATTATTTTATGCCAAAAGCTAGTTTAGAATCTTAGCGTCGGCTGCTAGACTTTTTAAAAATTTAAACTTAATTTCTAAAAAACTGGGACCCTAAACTAAAATTATGGCTTCGACATTCCCTAGTTCTCAAAATTATCTTCCTTTCAACACAAAAATCATGAAAATCCGTCGAGTGGTTGATTCAGAATTGTGAAATAAAAAAACACTGTTTCGTTTTAATATTATAGATGTAATAAAAACATAGGTCATGTTTATTGTTTTTCTATATTTTCTGCAGATCCTATGCAGAGTTTGGACTTAATTTTCTTTTTCCAGCATGCAAAAACATTTATCAATAAATTATTGGTTTTTGTTTTTTGTAACTTAAGCTTTCAAATGTTATTCTTAACAAGAGGTCATTTATGATCAGAAGGGAAATGTTTTGAAACAAGACATCTGTAATTGATGGAAAATAATGTAGGTGGTCTATTTTATCCAATAGTCAATGGTTAGGCCAGCGTTGCCACCCGTCCTGATTCTATCGGGACAGTCCTGATTTTGGTTCCTTATGCCTGTATTTAAGCCTATGTTAATCCGAGGAGGAGGGGGGCCATGGATTTTTCCCTAACCTAAGGTGGCAACCCTTTGCTTCTCACCTTTAAGGGCAACCGCAGGAATTTTTCCACTTTAGATAAAAATTGTATCATTCTTCTCAAACGAAACTGCCCCCTGATTTTTCCACTCTTATAACAGTTGTTAATTTTAGCTGTGTTGATTCATAAAGACTACATCAATCATCTATTCCAGGCTGCACGGATCATATGAAGCTTTGAAGGGAGGCAGTACATCCGAGGCTATGGAAGACTTCACGGGAGGCATCACAGAAAACTACGATCTGGAAAAAGCTCCACCTCACCTGTTTCAAATCCTGCTCAAGGCATATGAAAGAAATTCACTCATGGGCTGCTCTATTGAGGTGATATATTTGTTAAAAATTAATAATATTTAGTACTCTATTACAAGGCTTACAAGACACCTCCATCCCAGTATATCTATGGTGAACGATAAAGCCTCTTAAAATGTAAACATCCATTTAACACTTTGCTATCTCTATTAGTCATCCTACTTTCTTCCTCTGTTTGAGTCCCCCTACATCTTTTCTTCAGCCCTTGGGACACATTTTTGGTATTCTGGGCTCAATTTGAGGTGGAGAAACATAAAAAATAGACTTTATAACATTCTGTGTAGCAGCAAACCCAAGTACTCACTAAACCTAATGTTATTTAAATGGAGAATAAATCTAACATGTTTAAGGGAATATTTCAGTAGCATTCTGATCAGGAAAATTTAAATTCGCTTAATCAACAGGTTAGCTGCAGCGAGAGTATTTATTGTTTCTTTTCAATCCAATTTATTTATTTACGTCATGAACCAGTTTAGAAAATGATAACTTGTGTCTATTGAATTGTGTCATTTGTCAATCTGGGAAATATTGTAGCAATGGGCGACTTCTATGTGTTTTAAATGTTTACATAGTCGTTGTAATTGGTTGGACTCAGTGGGATGGAGAGTAAGCGATGGAAAAAACAAAACATACTATTCTACACAGCAGTTGGTTGTATGAATGATGTGATAGTCTTAAACCTCCATCAATATTCCACTGTTTGCAGAAATCCACTGTTTCATATCCTGAAATCAAGCACCAATAAAAGCATATAAAGCACTGTTCTCATGTATTTAATTTTTAGAGAGCTTAGAACAGCAACTTGTGATTCTGTGTCTTATTTTTGTTTCAACATTGTAGTCTAAATTAACCCTACATTCCTGAGATGTTTGTGTGTTCTGGTCCCTGACAGCCGGACCCCAGTGTGACGGAGATGCAGACGAGGGACGGTCTCGTGAAGGGTCACGCGTACAGCATCACCAGGGTACAATCCGTGGACATCAACACTCCCAACATGTCTGGCAAGATACCTCTGCTGCGTCTGAGGAACCCCTGGGGCAACGAGGCGGAGTGGAACGGCCCGTGGAGTGACAAGTGAGGCGACTAGACGTAGTGGTGTAGCTTGGTAGCATAGGGATTGAAGGCCTGGGTTCGAATCTTGTCAATCACCAATGGATTTTAGCTATGTCATAATGCCATCCAGTAGTTTGGAGCATACATTAAGCTCCCTCACTTTTTATCTCACAAGGGGTATTTGTCTTGGAAAACACTCTCTTCTAAGTAAACAATAAGAATATGTTGTTTTGGAGGAATGATCAATAAACAATATCTATAATAAATAAAAGTACAGTTTTGTCTGTACATTGCGTATAATAATGAAGTGTTTCGTTATTTTTTTCTTTTCATAGTCCAAGACAGACAAATCAAGTCTGTTTAACATAGTGATTACTTACTTACAAAGCATGCATGTTCCAAAATAAATACCTTAATACCTATAAAACTTTTCCAGATCGCCAGAATGGAGGTTTATACCGGAACATGAGAAGCAGGAGATTGGTTTGGTGTTTGAGAACGACGGAGAGTTTTGGATGTCGTATCGAGACTTCATCAAGCACTTCATGCGGCTGGAGATCTGTAACTTGAACCCCGACTCTCTAACGGAGGATGAACTGACAGCCTCGGACAAGAAGCGATGGGAGATGAGTGTGTTTGAAGGAGAGTGGGTGAGAGGAGTCACTGCTGGAGGCTGTAGAAATTATCTACGTAAGTTTAAAACCTTCCCCATAATTTTGAGGTTAAAGGTGTAACATAGAACACAAGGGCCAAGGTTTTTAGAATTTTTTGGGAGGATTGCAGGCTTACCTGAATGGGAAAGAGTCCAAACTGGCGCACTTTACACAACTTTACATTATATACACAAAACATTAGAATATTTCCCTGTCACTGATACCATTATCAACTGAGAAAAAGAGTTGTTTTCTTCAGGTCTAATGGTGGCAAACATTATTACCATTGGGCCACCCTTAGATCAGTAGAAACTGTCTCTTAGGTCTACACAAGTACTTTGTCATTACAGCATGCCATGGAATTTTTCACCGTAAGCTTAAGTTTAATGGCTTAAGCTTGAAAATTAATAGCTTACAACTATAACAGTACATTAGAAAGAGCAACTAAATTACTACTTTCTATATACCCCCAAAGAAATTGAGGCATTAATCAAAGTAGAGGACTAGCTTTGAAATTCCTATATCATAGAATTCTTCTGCCTGCAGGCTCAGCCACCCGGTGATACGCAATCGGAAGTCCTTGTCATAATCAAAGTGCTGTGTTGCTAATTAAGTCTATGTTTTAGTACACAAAAAAAGTAAAAGTCACTCATAGTCAGGCGTGAACTGTAGGTTGGTTGGTTGAGGTAAAATTTTCCATTTGAATGATTAAACTAGATCACGTCAGAGGTTGGACATTGTAAAGCAAAAACAAAATGTTGGATGTAAACTATAGTTTGGACATTTTGAAACTGAATGAACCGTTTCCGGACGGAATTTATTACGCCGTTCCTGTATACTTCACACCCTTGACAATAAACTTCTATAGGTTTTGTTGCGGTGCCAAATAACATTTTCAATAAATAAAAAGTCCAACCACCTTTATTGAAGTAAAAAACACTGCCAATATGTAGCGGTGCCAAATAATATGTTACAATAAAAATGTACAACAAGCTTTATTCAAGTAGCCTAACTGGTAAACGCAAATAATAACAACATACAATAATCATAACATGTGTTGACAAATTGAATAAAATTAATAAACCAGCTGTCACTACAGGTTTCAATAAGCGTATGGCAAACAAAACCCGTATTACAGACCACACCTCAACTGGCAGGGTTTTTTACTTGCAGCACACTTAAAACTATTGCAACAATGGGCAGCATAATGACCCTTACGCTCTTGTCGGCTGGACAGTCGTTGTGTAGGCACGTTTGTACTAGTAAGTACACGTCCAGCAGAACGCCTATCGGTGTCAGATGGAAATATTCCTTAGTATCCGTCTAGTATTTTGTTGTAAATGTTCAGCAAACTAATTTAAGTCTATAGTTTACCTTAATCAGTCAGCTCCCAGAATACTTTAAGACTTTATTAATCACCAACTGATTTTTAAACGTACTGTACCATAGAGCTCATTTCTCTTGCCAGTAGTGTGGCTTTTCTAGGTGTCAAAGCTTAAATCTTTTGTCCATGGTAGCCTGTGTCCAAATCTCACCAATCACCAATGCTTTTGATCACGTCACCATTTTAGGAGCTCACCATAAAGCTATATGTATTTACCTAACTATTTACATTCGTAAGAAAACAAACATAGGTCAAGTCTCTCAGGAGGTGGAACTTTTCTATACAGTCCAACCTCAATATAACGAATCTGAAGGGACCGAACTGAATATTCGTTATATCAAGGATTTCGTTAAAATGAGGTTCGTTATATAGAGGTTAGGTTTGCAGGAATTTCGCTAAGTCGAGGTTCAGAACCAGCGTCGGTCAATATAGGTTGGGATTTGACCTCATTAAAACACAATTAATGTAGCGTAGGCTACAATACTTTACAGTACAGTGTTCATTGTACAGTAGAACCTTCTGTATCCAATAGTCAATGGTAGAACCTAAATTATCCGGCATAATAAAGGTGAGGGATCTTAAATATTGCGCAATCATGACAATGGCATTGACCTTGGTACAGGATAAAAACTGTAAGTTTAAAATCACAGCTTGTTTTAACCCTCCTAAAACCTTGCCAAACACTACATTGCGTAGTCATAAACCATGTAAAAACCAAAACAAAACAGTAGAAAGTTTTGTACGCTACTGACTGCTCAGGCCGGTAGGCTACTTACAGTACAGTACTGATTTATCACAACTAACAGAGGAATGTCAATAATAATCATTAACTATAGCATTGGTGTTGCTAGTTGAAACAAATCGTATTGAAAACAATAAATTATAAGATAAGTCATTATAAATGTGCTTATTCATAGCCAACTTAAAGATAATAAAAACACTCATAAATTAAGTAATGTTAAAATAACGATGTTGCTATTCTTTCTCTTTGCTTTTGTTTTTATATTCTTTCATAGATTTCTCTTTATCCAAAAATTGTACAATTCACCATATTTACTTATCACCCAATCACAGCTTACTACAGATTACGTCATCATCAGTCCTCAGTGAATGAAATCAGTTCTCAGTTGCAACATTGCGCGCGCAGCGACAGCAGACAGAGAGATGTATAAAACGGAGCAGACGAATGTTAGCGCAAGCGATGACGTCACCTTTCCATTTCATTTGATAAAGAAACAGGTTTTCCAAAAACAATACTGGGGTGGGGGATTTGTTATATCAAGGGAAAGACGTAGACAATTCGTTATGCAGAGGTTAAATTCGCAATGTAGAGGTTCTGACAATGATAAATTTGTTATATTGAGGTGTCTTATTTTAGCCGAAATCACGAAAAATTCGTTAAATCAAGGTCGATGTTATGGTTTGTTCGTTATGTAGAGGTAAAATATACATAGTCTCTTATGGAGAGTTCTAGGGGATTAAAAAACATTCGTTATATCAAGGAATTGGTTATATTGAGGTTCGTTATATCAAGGTTAGACTGTACTATAGAACTTCTTCTGAGAAAACCACACTTTACTAAATTACTTTTATTTATCGAACAGTGACTTTTCATCCTTTGTCTCGGATAACCAAATTTCAAGTTGTTGCAATAATCATATCGTGTTACAGAATCGTTCGCTCACAATCCTCAATACAGAATCACTCTGACAGACGTTGATGAAGATGACGAAGAGAACAAGTGTACGATTGTGATTGGTCTGATGCAGAAGAACAGAAGATCACAGCGGAGGTTAGGCCGAGACTGTCTTACCGTTGGGTTTGCCGTTTATAGGGTGAGTGTTTCAATTCTGTATATGACCTGGTAAAATTTAATTTAGTTTAGTGAGCTGGGAAAAATGATTAAAGAAGATTTATTTTTTGTAGTGCACCTGTTGCTCAAATTTGAGCAATTGCAATGTATTATGGGTGTTATTTCAAAACGAATAACCCTAACATTCATAATTTCCTATGTAAAAGAATCAACTCCAAGATAATGTAATCAATCACTCCACTCCAGTTATCGAAACTGAAAACGAACTCAATCTGAAAACGGACGCTCTTGTGTGTATCATGTGTTTACTATAAACAGCTGCAATTAATACAAATTATTCGTCTGTTTAAGTAAACAAAATCTTTGCTTCATAAGAAATACATTGGGATTTTGATTTTATTACAGGAATTGGTGAAAGGGGGCGTCTACACAAAAAATTCTTTATTTTGTCACGTTGTTTGTAAAAATCGGTTCGTTATTAAGGAGGAGTAGTGTTTCATAGAATTGCCTTCACGTATTATATATAAGAATTTTTTGTGGATGGGTTTAACCCTTAGAGTGCCAGGCGAGAAATAAAAGTAACGCTCAAAAAATGCCGATGATTTTTCCCGAAGGTCGCGCTAAAAATGCCGAGCGCAATCTGGCGATTTTTAGGTTAAAATTTCGTAAAAATCGAATTTTCGATATTTCGACCAACGAAAATCGATGTATCGCATCTAGTAACTTTTGACTCAATGTTAATATATGGGTTAAAAGAATCCGAGTATCCATTCGGTTGTTATGACAACTGTTCGATCATTACGAAACGTCCGGTCAGCCGGACGTTGGCACTTTTGGCTCGTTTTAAAAACGTCCGGTTCCCCGGACGTTGGCACTCAAAGGGTTAAGCATTGACTATACACAGATTAGACTTCCCATGTAATGTAAACATTTGAAGGCAAGAAAATAGATGGAGTTCAGGACCATTCGCCAGAGGGTACTTGTGTATTGGGTTAAATCTATTATTATATTTTACTTATTTAATATGCAAGCAGGTTTTTTGTGACAATTACTCCTCCGAAACTACTGAACCGATTGACATGTTTTTAGTGTCATTGGAAAGAGCGTAACGTGAAGTTGTGCAGGAAACTTTCTTTTTAGGGAAATAATTAAAGAGTGAGGCCCTGGGGCCCTTTAAAGTTTTGTATTTCTCCATAAGATTAACATGGGAAATAAAACAAACATTGTTATGAAACTCCAGCTGTAGTCAGAAATTAAAAGTGAGAAGATGAACATATGTTAATTGTAAACAGTCAATGTGTAAAATTATCTAGAAGATAAACATGGACAACCTAATGCGGCTGTAAGTGGGAAACATTATTAGAAACACTAAAAACAAGATCAGCCTTTGAAAAATTATAAGATATTTACAAGAAATGTTGATTACATTAACCTGTTATGCACATTGCGAGTATTTCCATTAGTTAAACAATCATAGAGTAGTTTGAGTTGACTCTTTTAAGCTCATCGATAATTATTACCGTCAGTCGTTTTCAAGCAACTCCTGTAATACTTTGCAATTGCTCGATTTCGAGCAACATGTACACTAGTATTAATTAAAGTCAATTCAGTATCATAACAAACAGCTGTTTGATTTATCACTTTACACAGAATATTGTATTTAGTTGGTAGACCATCTGAACAGATTGCACCACGTTTTTTGGCTTCTAATTTTTACACTAGAGTACGCTTATTCTGCGCGTAACAGGATGAGTGAACATGAGCGCAATAATGAAAGAGTTTACCCACACCTGTACACTTACCGGTGTCACTGGTGTACACAATAATGTTATTTGTATGGGCAAATCAACCCAGGACTTTCTACTCTCAGGACTGCTCGCCTTGACTACTTCCATCACCGCTTCCTTCGTCGTGGACCTGTTTCCCTCCCTTCCAATAGCATTTTCGAATTGCAGTTACACGAATCTAACTGTCACAAAGGGTTTCTACACTCCAGAATGCTCACCTCGACTACTTCCATTACTACTTCCTACGTCGTGGACCTGTTTCCCTCCCTTCCTATAGCATTTTAGTATTGCAGGTATATTAATCTAACTGTCACAAAGGGTTTCTACACTCCGGACTGCTCGCCTCGACTACTTCCATTACCACTTCCTACGTCGTGGACCTGTTTTCCTCCCTTCCTATAGCATTTTAGAATTGCAGTTATACTAATCTAACTGTCACAAAGGGTTTCTACATTTCAGAATGCTCGCTTTGACTACTTCCATTACCACTTCCTACGTCGTGGACCTGTTTCCCTCCTTTCCTATATTATTTTAATATTGCAGTTACATTAATCTAACTGTCACAAAGAGTTCCCACACTCCGGACTGCTCGCCTTGACTAATTCCATCACCACTTCCTACGTCGTGGACCTGTTTCCCTCCCTTCCTATAGCATTTCATTATGGCAGATACATTAATCTAACTGCCACAAAGGGTTCCCACACTCCGGAATGCTCGCCTTGACTACTTCCTTCACTACTTCCTAAGTGTCATGAACCTGTTTCCCTCCCTTCCCATAGCATTTTTAGAATTGCAGATACATTATTCTAAATTGTCACAAAGGCTTCCGACACTCCGGACTGCTCACATTGACCACTTCCTTCACCACTTCATACGTCGTGGACCTGTTTCCCTCCCTTCCTATAGCATTTTAGTATTGCAGGTATATTAATCTAACTGTCACAAAGGGTTTCTACACTCCGGACTGCTCGCCTTGACTACTTCCATCACCGCTTCCTAAGTCATGGACCTGTTTCCCTCCCTTCCCATAGCATTTTAGAATTGCAGTTAAACTAATCTAACTGCCACAAAGGGTTTCTACACTCCAGAATGCTCACCTCGACTACTTCCATTACCACTTTCTACGTCGTGGACCTGTTTCCCTCCCTTCCTATACCATTTTAGTATTGCAGGTATATTAATCTAACTGTCACAAAGGGTTTCTACGCTCCGGACTGCTCGCCTTGACTACTTCCATCACCGTTTCCGACGTCGTGGACCTGTTTCCTTCCCTTCCTATTGGAATTTAGAATTGCAGTTATATTAATCTAACTGCCACAAAGGGTTTCTACACTCCGGACTGCTCGCCTTGACTACTTCCTTTACCGCTTCTTACGTCGTGGACCTGTTTCCCTCCCTTCCTATAGCATTTTATTATGGCAGATACATTAATCTAACTGCCACAAAGGGTTCCCACACTCCGGAATGCTCGCCTTGACTACTTCCTTCACCACTTCCTAAGTGTCGTGAACCTGTTTCCCTCCCTTCCCATAGCATTTTTAGAATTGCAGATACATTATTCTAATTGTCACAAAGGCTTCCCACACTCCGGACTGCTCACTTTGACTACTTCCTTCACCACTTCCTACATCGTGGACCTGTTTCTCTCCCTTCCCATAGCATTTTTAGAATTGCAGATACATTATTCTAACTGTCATAAAGGCCCCCCACACTCCGCAGCGCTCGCCTTGACTACTTCCTTCACTATTTCCTTCACTACTATCTACATCGTAGACCTGTTTCCCTATCTTTCCATTGCATTTAAGTATTACAGATACGTTAATTTAACAGTCATAAAGGGTTTCCGTACTCCTTTCTTTTCACTGCTCACCTTTCCGCTTTCTTTACTACTCTCTACGTCGGGGACCTGTTCCCCCCCCCCTTCGCATAGCATTTTAGTATAAAAATATACCAACATTTTTGAATATTTAATATTCAATGCCAACATTAAATTGAATAATGTAAAAAGCTGCTTTGTTCTAAATACATACATACCTATATACTTTTAATTAAAAGGCGACATTTTAATACTGAACATAAACGGTATATAACTGCCGACTAATATTGTTAAGTTCAATTTATTATTATGAAAGTTGTGAGATTTAATTAGCTTAAATAACATTATTCTGAAAGCTGTGAAATTATAATGATATATATTCATAGACGCCAAACTGTTTACTCCATGAATGAAAGAGCTTAGAGTAAAAGTCGTTCTCTCTGTCTTAAGTAGACAACAAAATTGTTGGTCGCAAAACGTAAACAAATAAAAAGAAGAAGAAGGTAGCTCCTAATGTTATTCTTATGGGACAAATTTAAAAATGTTTTTTAAGTATTTTATAATTACTACTGAGCGGAATCGTCTAGAATTTTAATGGTGTCTTTACACTGGTGTCATAACTATTTGTGCAAAATTTGAACGTTATAAGTGCAACGGTTCCCGAGTTTTAGGTGCGAACACACACACACACATACTCCAGCGGACAACTTTTCTCCGACTCCGCTATACACGATACATAGATTCGTTCACTTCGTTCACTCATCTATTACTTGGGAAGTCTAATGGTTTAAATCAAGTATTTTGGAAGAATTTTGTGTTGGATAAGATTGAACTGCAGACTTACCTGATGAAATAGGTTAAAAGTACATAAATAACTACCTAAATAATGTGATTTTGGAACCAACTCATTTTTCAGTTGTAGAGTCTTGTACCAAGATATCAACTCTTGTACCTATTTCAAAATGTTTGGGATTATGTTTGAAAGCTGAGTATACTACAGAGCAACCTATATTTAGTCAATTTTATCCATCAGAAACTTTGAAACTTAACAATTTCCAGCTTGAAGACCCAGACAACCTGCCTACTCCTCTGGATAAGAATTTCTTCACGTACAATGCATCTGTTGCACGATCCCCCACCTTCATCAACATGCGTGAGGTAGCCGAGCGATTCACACTGCCTCCCGGCGTATACTGCATAGTGCCTTCCACCTTTGAACCCAACGAGGAGGGAGAGTTCCTGCTACGAGTGTTCTCTGAGAAGAAGAATAACATGGAGTAAGTTTAATTAGTAGGCTACATAGGTAAACATACATTAGTAGGCTATATATGTAAAGCTACCTATCTTTCAGTATGTTCTCCATTATTGTGCTCTTCGTTAATGTTTTTTATCCAACATTTTATTACATTGTAGAGAAGATCTATGGTGTTAAATTTGGTGTTTTATTTTGTGAAAACAAATTACCATTATAAATCAACTGATCGAATAACTAATCAATAATTTGAAGACCCTTAACTTCATTGTCAATTGTTTCAAATACCATACTTTTCAACATCATTAGGCCTTAAGGAACATTCTTTCTCAATTTAATTCTTTCTTTCTCCTGCCTAAATGGAGGGAATCCTGAGCGAGTTTCTGCAGTGCAGTTTTTTGATTGTGTAAAATAAATTTTCATTGGGCTTTTATTAAATGGTCCCAGCTAATGAAACAGCTGGTCTTAGTCAGTAAAAAACTCAAAAAAGCCAGACAAGGCATCTCATTTTATTTCACACTCATTTTCACTCAATTCATATTTGAGATTAAATGTTCACCTTCATCAGTGGGTGGCGTCCCCATCTCATTTGATAATCATGATAATAATTTTATGTCTACCTAAATGTCCATACTGAACCTTACGTCTACTAATCAATCCAAACCGAGTATAGACTTAAGGCTAATGCCACACGAGGTGGTTTTTACAGCTGATGACAGCTGTTTTTGTGGCTCAAAAATTAGAAACAACGGACGTGAATGAATGGCAACAACGTGAGTACGGCTGTATTAAATGCTTTACGTGTAACATCCTGCATCAATTGTTTACTATCAATTATCAATTATTATGTCGCGATAATTTCCGAGCTGAGAAAATCGCCTCGTGTGGCATTAAAAGATGTCACATAGAGCACAAGAGCCTGGGTTTTCTGGACTTTTTTGTAAGCATAGCAGGCTTACCTGAATGGAAACGAGTCCAAACTGGCACAAGAGACACACAACTTAACACTATATACATAAAACATAGAATATTTTACTGTCACTGACAGCATTTTCAACTAAGGAAGAGAGAGTTTTCTTCATGTCTAATATGGTGGCCAGAAAGTTCTTGAGTCAGTGTTGCCAATAGCACAAATTTAAACTCATAATTAATTGCTATACAATAATCAAACTTCCAGCTACACATACCAGCCTCATAATACTATATAGTGTTCCCATCTTGGGCTTTACTGATTTTGCTATCTGTTTCCAGGGAGAATGACAACGAAGTTGGTTTGAAGGAGATGGATGACAGGGTAAGTAATTTTTCTCTATTCATTACTTTTAAAATACATTTGTAAATATTCTGTACCTTATTTACCTATGCTCAATAAGTATTGTTCAAATTTTCTTTTCAACCATTTACATATTCATGCTGCTTGAATTTCATATTGCCTTTATTCTTTTAGAGCTTTCCAATTTTCCAAATCACTATATCATGTGCTTATACAAATCATGCTAAACACTCTTCATTCTCGTAGGATTACGATAACATCAACCGTTTCGGCGATCCAGAAAAGAGAAGTTTAGAGCCTTCAGGGGTAATATTAAATGTGGACTTGGGAAAAGTTTTAATTTTGCATCATATAACTCGTTTTATATTTCATCTTTAACAAAAGTGTGCTTACTAACCGCATATTTACACATATTTTTTGATACATTTGGTTACTAACAATTTTTTCTTGCTTTCCTTTTATTTTTGTGTCCATTTAATAATTTTAAAAATCTGCACAATTTACTTGGAATAGACGTGTCTTATTTTTTCCCTATCAATAATCAACAGGCTTTTTAATTTAAGAACAATTTTTAACCTGACAATGAATTTTGTAATTATGGTACCCACAGTAATGCATTTATCTTCAATGCTCTCTGCCAATTTGGGAAAATTTATACTTTTAACCAAAAGTGTTGTTTTGTAAATGTTTATTGAAGTAATTAATTGGTCTGTGTGTCAAATTATAACAACTATGTACAATTTTCTATAAAGTTTTTACATAAACTATTATTATTTAATAACTACCTGCATTTTGACTGAGTGTTTTATTTTATCTTAGAATAGAATAAAAATGTATGAGGCATGGACTTTAGTTTATTTGATCGAAATTGTAATCTAATACTAAGATACCAGACAGTTTAATTTATATATTTTTGTCAACATAGAATTGACCATTTCACCTTCTATCACCATATTCATAGCCTAATATAGTTAAGTCTGCGTCGAAAAGTGGCCACACTGCAATCCTGGCCTACTAAAGCAACTGTAACACTATTAATTCATACTGCTATTACTACGCTATCACGATGTTGCCACATATTATTCACCACGGTCTTGTTTTAAAGGAGGCTAAACTGGAATTAATTCTTTCAGTTTTAATTTTTCTTCAACATGAACTCAAATTATATTTTCTTCGTAGATCATCGAACCACCTCAACCGGAGCCGGAGGTGAAGAGGAATGATGAGAAGGTGAGGGAGTTCTTCAACAAGTTGGCCGGAGAAGACTTGGAAGTGGACTGGATGGAACTCAAGGAGATTCTCGACTACGCGATGCGAAACGGTAACTTGTCCCTCGAGTGTTTCACGACACTCAAGATATGTTTTACTATCGTAGAAAGTATGAGAAAAAGCTTACTAGTGAACCTTTACTTCTCATAGCTTAAACATTACCAACTCTGCAGAGAAGGAGCAAGAATTTCTCTCGGAACTTTGTTTTGAATTTAGCCGTTTTAGCCCCTGTGCTGTAATATAACTGAAAATAAGCGTTTTTCCCCAACAGCTCAGGAGTTGTAACTTGTGTTACGCATTACAATGCAGGCACTTTAGCCTACATTGCTGCAGAATTGATGGCGACTCATTCCGGATCGCAGCGTCAATCAGTACTGATTCAGTACCATGTGTGCGATAGACCTGCTAGCTTTTGTAATATTTTTGTATTTGTTAAATGTTCATTTCAATGACTGTTTTAACTTCAATGAGGCAAAATTTTGAAAGGCTTGAGAATCTAATTGTAATTCCAAAATGACTTTAACAAGTTAAAACTTTTGAGTTGTAGACAAAGGTAAAACCTATTTTTAGTTAGTTTGTTTAGTACATCTGGTGTTTTGAACAGTGCTATAATCCAAGATATACTTTTACGTTCAAAATAATAACAATAATATAAACTCACTTGTAATACATTGAACTCAAGGCAACTCTAGTATGTAACTAGGTCTGTTAGTCAACAAACACCAATGTTTTATTAACTTGTTGAAGTACAAAAGTGTAGTAAATTGTTCCTTCTCTGTCAGTGAACGTATCTCAAACATGATTTTGGTATTTCATGGTAATTTGCCTTTTTTATTTTTGGTTTTCCTCTCGCTTACAACATTATACATTGACTCCTGCTTTGGACGTTTCTTTAACTATTCAACAAAACGAAACACATACATAACATAAATGTTTATTGACTCATCAGTATGCAAGCAATATAAATTCCTTAGTCACTGGATTTTGGTCTACATACTTCTTTCAGTAAACTAGGAACACTGTTTGCAAATTCTTCAATTTGATAAAAAAAAATTAATTAAAACAGATTAAATGTGTTCTTATGACTCATAGTCAAACAGTTAAGTTATTTTTTTTTATATTTGTATTTATTGATGTATGATGATTCTTTCTCTTTTCACTTCAAGAAAAACTCAATGACTATTTTAATTTTATTTTGTATTTTATACTAAGTTTTCTATCAGAATCTTACACTAATGTCGAGATTTATCTATCCAAGTGTAAACATAATACATAACCCGGACACACGACAAACCAACATAGCTGTATTCCTTAAAAATAAAACATATTAGTTTTTATAACATTTATGATTCTGATTTGATTTAAGTATTAGCTTTGACAACAACTTATACAACAACTGTATCTGTATTACAACAATATACAACAACTCCTGTATCCAATAGTCAATGGTATTAGATGACTAAACAAACTATTTAAGTAGAAAAGTGGCTTTTGCTATGCAGCTGAAAAATATATCAGCAAAATATTATCAAGTGCATCTATATTGTTTAATCAGTTAAATAATGTTATGCTGTTATACTGTGGTATAACATTGTTAATATTCATAACATCATGACTAGACTACATTTGTTTGAATTTCTTTTAAAATGAGTATTTTTGTAAAGCTCAGTTGTCATCGTCATACTCTTCTCATAGCATTCCCATTTTCATGTTTTGCTTGAGTAAAGCATCTTGAAATAATAGATGTAGTTTCCTGTTTGATGATTTAAGCTTGTGTCCCAAAAGCTTTTTTTTAAATTTAAACTGAATGTAAGCTTTATGCTTTTGTTGTTTGTTTGTTTGTGTTTTTTACAATAATTAATTATTTTTTTCTTTCAGTGTACATTTATAAAATTATTTTGTGTGCCAATTTGTGTAAGATATTGTGAAACAGTGTTCTTTGTAAGCAGCATTTAGCTTTTTTCATCTTTTTAGTAAATCTAGTTTCTTTATACAGCCTGTAACAAGTAATTAAATCACCACCAAGATATAAGGGTCGTGTTTAACGACATCAATAATTAAAAGTTCAAAAGTAATATTGATTGTGTTGGGATCAAATGTAATTCCTGATGGAGTTTTGTCAAAAAGTTGTCCCTCTTGCCCCATGATTTGGAGTAACCTGTTGTGCAAGTGTGAAAATAGAAGAACACAGTGGATTTTGGTCTCCATTTAGTCAATTAAATTTGCACATTGCTCTCTTGTTCTTTGTTCAGTTGAAAAATCAAGTTATTTTTGCATTGAGTGTTGAGGTTATGTCTTAAATGATTCAAACGTGACATTTTAAATTGTTTTAAAAAGAAGTAGCTTGCTATAAACATTTACTTCTCCTTTTAAAAACTGTTAGCTGCTCCTACCACCTTTAAAGAAAATTTGAGCCGGATTAGGTTAGGAAATATTTTCAGAAATCTTGAAAATGAAATGAATATCCTAATCTATTTAAAGGTAAATATTGACTTGTGAATTGAACAAAGAACAAAAGTACAACTGACTTGACTCAATGTAGATCACAAGACTGAGTCGTTCTTATTTTGGCACTCCAAATCCTGCAGTGAGAGCATAAGGAACTGTGTAGATGATTATATCATTAAAATAAAGAAGGATACACTGTATTGTTTAGATGAAAACAGCTGTTTGCTGCTTTGTGTGAGTGTAGGTGCGTGTGTGTAAAGTCTGTTCTCTTGTAGAAGTGTCCGCTTCATCGGCTGCCGGAGGTGACAACGTAATCATGAACCTCCTATCCCTCGTTTGTGGAACATTTTTTCAGGACTCGCCCATCGCAACTGTGTTTGGTAAGATGTTTTCTGTCACAAGCGGGTTTCATTTGGTGGTGGCCCATTTTGATTGGTTGAGAGCCACAAGTATATAAGTTGTTTGAGTGGGGTACGGGCGTGTGTTTGGTGCAATTAATCGTTTTGCTGGGTGAAGTATTTGATTTATTATTATTTAAGAGATTTGCTAGACTCACCTAGTATGCAGATTTTCATTTAACTATTGTCAACTAAAATATCTTATTTTGATTGAAAAGAGACTTTTAACATAATTTGTCTCTGGGTTTGAGAAAGGATGATAGAGTTTTTTATTTATTTTAATTCATTGAAAAACTTACTCATGTCTTGACATAAAGTGTAACAATTGGTTAACATGTTCAAGGTCCATTTTTTATAGAATCTGTATAGTATCATATCCTTACTCGTACAAAGTAATATTTGAAAAAGTAATATTGTAAAACGGTTAAAATACCTGTTATTGCCTAGTGATTCTTCTGCTCCTATATTGGACTATGTGTTTCGATGTAGCATCATCGGGTTAGCAACTTGAAGAAATTTATACGGTACCATTGTTGAGTTGGTCGCGTCAACAACTTGTTCAAGTTTCAACCTGATGATGATGTATACATCGAAACGTGTAGTTCAATATAGGAACAGAAGAATCACTAGGCGGTTACAGTATTTGAACATTTTTATAACATTTGTCAACGTGATTCGGAATAAACAACACAACATGAAGTTATTAAGTAAGGTGAATATTGAAAATTCTCTTCCAGCTAGAGTTATTATATAGCTAAATATTTGGGAATTTCGCTGATATTCTTGTCTTTTATTTCAAGGCTACTGCATAGTATAAAAATTAATCCTAACCCACAAAATTTATGGCCAGAACTAACAAGTTTTAAAATTTGAAAATTATTTATATCTACTGGATTGTTTAACACGTTGACTACCAGCCGACACACTCCTCTGTATGAGACGTATTGTGACTCCTGGTAGTGAATGTGTTAACTTCAGCTACTCCTAAAGTCTTTGTATTTGTTTAAACGTGTGCATCTGTGGAATATTCAAGTGTTCTACAATTTTGATTCTTCAAATACTATCCTTAAAAATTGTTTTTACTCTAACTTTTTCTGTGCAGCTTATTTGGCTGTGTTTGTGAAATATTTTTGTGGTTGTTTTGCTTACAAAATGATTTTGTGTTTTTACAAGCCGGAGCCAGTGATTTTTTAACAGGTTTGAAACATAATTTTTCTAATCCCTTCAATTTGTAGCAATAGCTTCTAAAATTTGAGTTTTTGTGTTTTTTTAGAATATTATGGTAACCACTTATTGTTTTGTCCCAAGTATGCATGAATGTTTAAAGCAATAGAGTAGCAATGGAGGAAATAGAGGTAAAAACGTTTTGTCGTAAATTAATTCCCGTAGACTTAACAACCTTTTAGTTTTTACCCTTCTCTTAGGCTTAAGTACCCAACGTAGTCCACTGAAATCAATACCAAACTTGATTTAATAACAAAGAATCTTTCATGGTTAGTTGGAAAGGCCACACAAATTCAAACATTTTCAAACACTGGTAATAATTTTAACCAGTTTGGCCCTTAAATTTTCTGTCTTAGTGCAATAAACTTTAGTTAGTGATTAATGCATTTTACATCATAGCACAGGTCCACTTTTTATAAGAAAAGTACATTGAAGCGTAACTGTTATTTTGAGGAAAGCACAGTTAAAATGATAGATTTTTACTCCAAATTTGGTGTGATGACAATTGCATAGCCTTGTCCAATACAAGGCTGCGGTAAGACAAAAGTGGCACCGCCGAAAACCTGACTACTGAAACAGCTGTTGCGCTAATTTATAAAGGAGTATTTGACTATTTTTGTCAAGGTTTATGTTTCCTAGATTGTTATTTTTGTTATTACCATGGCAATAGGCCGGCTGGTGTGCAATGTTGCCACACACTAATACCACGGTCTTGTATTAGGGAGGCTAGCATACATTTAAAGGGAGTTAAATCGCGCATGTTCTGTACTTTTTTCGTATCAGACCTTAAATGTTCCCACTAATGTATCTTTTAGCTGTTTTAAAGTTGATTTTAGAAACCCAACAACAATAATAATTAAGGAAAGAAGGTAAAAAATACAAACAAAATGGATATGAAAAGTAATTGCCTGGTTGTGTGCTCTTTATGAGCATGATAATTTAGTATTTTTCTGAAACTGCATTTTGTAAACGTTTTAATGTTGTTTGTTAGTTATCATAACACAAGTAGTAATCATTGTTTGTGAATAGTTTAGGATGGTTGAATTTATTTAAATATTTTTTAAATGGTAATTACCGGTACGTTAAAGTTTCTTGGTATTAAATTCAATAATTTACTGATCATTAGTGTTTCAGCCATCCTTTTAGATTTTTTTGTGTTGTACATTGTTTGATAAGGCTTGCAGTTTCTTTGTGTACTAATCAATTTCACAATTTCATCTTAAAATCTAATAGGATATCAGTAATTGAAATTTTTTAATCAAAAGTGCAGGGTTTTAAAAACTTGCCATACAGCATTTCCATTTTAAACCAACTAGTAAATTGTTTATATTCATTACAAAGTAATACCCACCTAACCTATATCAGAGTAATTTAGTTTTTTGATGTTGGCAGACACTGTCGGCAAAGGAGGTTTCTCCAAGGATGTTTGCCGCAGCATGATTGCTATGTTAGACATGGACCACTCAGGAAAACTGGGCTTTGACGAGTTCAAGCTTCTTTGGACAGATATCAGGCATTGGAAGGTACTGTGATGTTTGTTTTGTTTTGGAAAGTATTGTGTATTTCAAGGCTAGTCTTTTGTTTCAGCAGATCAGCTGTTTTTTCAACGCACCAGCTGATAATAAGGACGAGTTTAGAGTGATCAAGATGATAGCATTTAGATGCATAAAATCAGCTGATCTGCGGAAAAGGATTTTCCAAATTCAATAGACTGAAACCAATATTACAATATCAAAATGTTGTTAAACATTATATTTATTGCAGAATCTCAAAGAATAACTATTGATAATTTTCTACCATGAAACGCTCTTCTGTGACTTAACTGTTTTGTTTTAAAGTAAAATTTTAAAAACAAAAACTCACAATATACAAACTAACTCATCATAATGATTGTGACCATTATGGTATCTATCGGAAGCTCTCAAGGAGTAGGGAACAAATTGGAGGAGCAATGTTGCAGGATTGTTTATTTATTTCAAACCATTCTCATTCCTTGCTAGAGTTATGTGGCATGGGAACTAATCATTAGTTTTCACTAGGAGTATGTCATAATATTAAATTCCCTACTCTTTCAAGCATATTTTTAAAACGACACAACATAAAACCAAAGATGATAAATAAATATCTTGTAAAAATGTACGTTAAAAATTGAATATTTTATTCCAGCAAATCTACCAGTTGTACAGTAAGGAGACCCAAGGCTACTTGAGCTCATTTGAGCTCAGAGAAGCTCTGAACGCTGCAGGATACAGCCTTAACAACCACATCCTGAATATCCTGGCCCATCGATACGCCAACAAGGAAGGGAAGATATCCTTCGATGACTTTATCATGTGCGCCATCAAGCTCAAGACCATGATTGGTAAGTTAGTCGAGACAAGCATAGTTACTGTACTGCATCGTTGGCCTTTTTGAGAATTAAATTCATATTGGGGTGGAAAGTCTTTTTGGAATTGTTTGCATTTGAATCGATTCCAAATAACTTAACTTTTAACAATTCCAGCGTAAAACAAATGTTTAATAGAAATACAGTTGTTTCTTGGTTGTCCGACACTTTGCAATATTAACCTTTCTTCTGGTACCTTTTGTGAGTTTGAGTTTGCCTCCGCCATTAACTCCTTTGCTATCTCATCAATTAATTGTTGTTCTTCTGCAGGGATATTTGTATCAAGAATATCCCCTCCTCTGAAGTTTTTTATGGAACTTCCTTCTTATTTGGAGAGCTGGTAGTTTTCTTTTCTTGGTTGGAACTCGAAAAACTGCTGCTTGAAGAAATCGATGAAGAAGGACTTCGGTTCTCCCGTTTCTTCCTGTTAGTTGATGTTTCACCCGAGACTAGGGAGTGATGCGATCACCGCTTTATATATTTTTCTTATTCTGGTTCTTCTCTCGACGAGATCACCTCTCTCTTGTCGTTCACCAATTCCGTGAACAGCTTTGTTTGATTTTGTTTCTCCCCTTCTTTGCAGGTAGGATTTTCACCAATGGAATTTCAGGTTGGGGCTGTTGGAACAACTTGATACGTTTATTGTTAAATTATTCTGCTATGACGCTTCGCAGCCAGGGAATGTTGTGTTGGTCAGCTGTGTACCCCTCGGCCTTAAGGCACAGAAATACACTGCAGTCCACTTTTGAATACTGTTTTGGTCCTCCTTTAGGTATTATCTTACACATTCTGGATAGTAACACCTCTCGTCTTCAGTGTAGTGCCACTCCCTCAAACAATGTTTCAGCAATTTTGCCATGCAATGGGTATTGTAGTCTAGACTCTCGGCCATCCGCCCCTGGTGCCTAAGGTTTGTAAAATATTGAGATATTCTGCGATCACTTTGTCGTTGATGCATTGATTGTTCTTTAAAGATGGCAAGTCTTCTTCGTTCGTCGGTTTCAATGGTCTTTACTGTTTGACCGATTGACCGCTAATGACCATATTCCTGTCTGCCCAGACCTCCTTCAAGTTGTTTACTTTACTTTTTTAAAGAACAAAGGAGCCTCCTCTGACCTTCTCCTCACTTACCCTACTTTTCCCTGATATTGGGGTTGTTCGGCTAAGTGAATTCCGTAACTCGGTATTTCTACAAGCTAACAGCTGTGAAATCAGAAACAAAAGAAGCAACAGGTCGCGTCACCTGTCTCGTGTCCCCGAGTACTCGGTTGTTTTTTAAATGTTAGATGTTCGTCTATCAATGTGCGTGTTTGTGTGTTTTATGTACTTTTATTATCAATGACGACCTTCATATACAGAGGTAAATATGACACCTTGTATGGCCTGAAGATGGTTACTGAATCGAAACTATAGTTGCCACAAGCAGCAGTTGGATTACTGAATGCAGGTACTTAAACCATTATAACAACAAGCAAGTAGTGACATGAATCCCAGAATTTACATACCTCTTTACTGTCATTCTGTAGCCACTGTGTTGTTGTAAATTATAATAAAACTATTGTTGTTATCTTAATCGTACTATTCTGTCCTAAATGGTCAACATTTATTAATACTGCATTAGAAAACAATGGTCTTATGTCATAATTATCAAATAACTTAATAAATCCAATAAACTTATCAGTGATTGATTTTTTATTGCCCAGCGAAACTTTTAGAGGGTTCCACCAATAAGGCCCGGTTTCCCCAACTCATTTAAACCTAGTTTTAAGTTAAACGGCGATTTAAACTTAGTTTAACTTTGATTTGGGTTTCTCCAAATTTAAACTAGGTATTAATCTAAGTTTAAACTAAACCACCTCTCAACTTGGTTTAACTACTGGGGATAAAATAAACTGAGTTCAAATTAAAATTACAACAATAACATAACCTCAATTAATTCCAAAACAAATAGTAGGTGTTAAAACAGTAATAGTTGAATCAACTACTATAAATTAATTCAGAGGAAAATAGGCTTTGCTTAGGGCTAACTTATATTGTGAAGGCCTAATTAAGTTAAGTTTTATTTGTATTTTAATTTATTGTGTTTATTAAGTTCTTTTATTTGTACATTTAATTTTTTTTTCAAGTTAGGCTAAGTTACTAATTACAGTATTTTCCCCTATATCTGGGTAAACTGAAATGGAAGAGTTGATTGAAATTTTTGAGGAAGTAGATGATGGAGATTTTGAAACTATAATACCCCGAACAAGAGGGCCTACAACAATCAGAGAGAGAATTGACCATTTTCATAAATGGAACGAATCGGAGTTTTTTGAAAGATTCAGGATGCGGAAGGAAACGGCGAGCATAGTTTTGAGCCTGATCAGAGAGAGGTTGACTACTAGGACCGACAAAAACCGCGCTGTGACTCCAGAAGAAAAGTTTCTCTGCACTTTAAGGTTCTATGCTTCTGACAGCTTCTTTATCAACATAGGTGAGTTGAGTGGGCTACACAAGTCAACTGTTAGTAAAATTATAAATGAAGTGTCAGTTGCAATCGCATGTTTATGCCCTCAATTCATCAAAATGGCTACGACTGAAGAAGATATCAAAAGAGTGAAAAGCGGGTTTTACAGTAAGCAGGGTTGCCACCAGCCATGAAAACCTTGAAAAGCGTGAATTATGCGTGAATTTAGGTGACCATGAAAAAGTGCGTGAATTATGCGTGAATTTCGTCATTGGACCATGAATTCTCAAAATCATTATTAACAATTCAGCCAAAACCCCTAAATGTGCTGAATCAAATACTCCGTATTAAAACCATTCTCGAAATGAACACCGAGATAAAACGTCAAAGTGGGAGTGTGAGATAGTTTTGTTGCCATGCCACGAACAGAAACGATTGCGTAGTTTATTCAAGGTCAAATCCGATCGTAACCGACGTCAGCCGAGTAGTCTAGAGATGGGAATTATCGTTGTTTTCCGGCAACGGTTATAACGATAACGCAGCTGCCCAATAACGTGTTGCGGCAACCTGTTATTTCAAACGATTGCCAACTCGTTGCCGCTTAAACCGTTGTCCGCCGGTCGGTCGGTGTTGCGACGTTCAGTTATCATTGTCGGTTGATCAGTTGCAGTTCAGTTTTCAGTTGTAGTCGGGAGTCGGGCGTTGCCGCGTTGTCCAGACAGGATGCGTTATTCTAGTTCGTTTCAGAAGTTATCGTTGCTCTGGTAGCGTTGCGGCAACGGCACTAATAGCAATGCATGTTTTCGTTTTCGTTGTCGCGCGGCTTTCCTGCAACATTTAGATAGATACGTTATTATAATAACAGGGAGTTCTCCGCAACGTGTTGCCGCGATAACGTTGCCGTGGCCGCAACACTGTTATTCATCCTGTTATGTTATAACGCCCATCTCTACCGAGTACCGATCCACCGATAAAATCGATGCTTTCGGAGCTAAAACATCGATCACATCGATGTTTGTTCCGAGTTTCTCGTCTGGTCTAAATAAACCAACACAGCCAATTAACCTAAAACCAATACAATTCAGTTACGGAAAACATCAATATTTCATTACTTTTGTTGTAGTCCAGTGCAATTAGACAAAAAATGACCTTGACCCGGACAAAATTGATAACAGGCTGAAAATTGGTGGAAACGTTCAAAACAATGTCCTGAGTGGCCCACACAAAGTCCCAAGAAATCCCAGTTGGGGAACGCCCGCCATCTTGAAAAAACTGCCGCCATCTTGGAAATTTAGATTTTTTTGCTGTATCTTTTGAAGTAATAGTCCGAAAGGCATTATTTATGTCTCAAATTAAGCGTTTTGAACTCATGCATGAGTGTAGTATATAGTTAAAGAGTTTAATACGTTCTAAGCATAAATATTATTTATATTAACCTAAAAATTTATCCATAAAATGATATCAATTTACAAAATATTTACAAAATGAAGCTTTTTTTCTTTCGCTCTTAATGGACTTGTTAAAGCCATTAACCCTTTTGGCATTTCATGCAATTCACTATGTTTAGTCTTTGGAATTGGTTAAATAAGGGGTGAATAAAAAGTCAAGACCCCCCCCCCAAATATTTTTCTAAGTAAGTATACAGAAATATCCTTTTGGTGGTGTTGCAATCTTAGTAGGAAGTTTCATTTGATGATTTTAACATTTTTGAGTGTCCCCCAAAAAGAGGGAATTTTAAGGGCAACTCAAAAATTTTAAAGTAAATCCTATTCAAGTGACACCTCATCTTGAAGTGTTTACAAAAACTTAAAGAATGGTGAAAACCAGAGTTCCCTATATCTTCTCTATCCAAAATGGTAGCCCGTCAAAAGTTTAATGACGATAGTGTTACATTAGTTTTCCTGTGTAGTAAAAAGTAATTCCCCCCCACCTTTAATTTGTTCCTAAGTAAATATTATAGAGTAATCCTTTTGGTGGTGATGCAACCTTAGCAGGAAGTTTCATTTTATGATTTTAAAATCTTTGAGTATTCTCCTCTGTCCAAAATGGTAGCCAATATTACAATTACGAACCAATATTACCATTGATTTTCCATAACGTTTGACGGGCTACCATTTTTTGATAAAGATGAAATAGCAAACTCTGGTTTTCACCATTCATAAAGTTATTGTAAACTCATTAAAATGAGATGACACTTGAAGGGGGTTTACGTTTAAAATTTTTGAGTTGCCCCCAAAATCCCCCCTTTTTGGGGAACATTTAAAAATTTCAAATTCATAAAATGAAACTCCCTGCTAAGATTGGACGACCACCAAAAAGGACATCTCTGTATATTCACTTAGAAAGTATTAGAGAAGGGGGGTATTGACTTTTTATTCACCTAAATGCTGTAATTTGTTATTTATTTATTCCAACGGCAAGATCACCAATTTACAATGTGGATTCAAGAAGCCTAAGTGGTAACAACATGCATTTAACAGAAAACTTAACTAACTTAAATATATGGCAGGAGCAGAGCAACATCGGTAAC